ACACAAAGTCACAGGCTGAAGCTTCCGCACCACTGGCACGCTGCGGCGCGCTGCAGTGCTCACGCACGCCCTAAGCAGTGAGCTGACGCAGGGAACTGGACTTTCACACCTTGCTGAGTTTTTTTGAAGGGGGACCGAACAGCCATCTTCGTCAGGGGCAACAACACGGCCCGTACACTTGTGATTGTGGGCTGGGAACAAGCCTCAATATTGGCGAGCCACCGTTCTGAGAAAGAGGTGCATCCACCTTGTCCTCACCTGTCTTCGGTGGGATCACAGGGCTCGTGTTCACAAAGGGTCGGATAAAGGGGGCGCAGCCGGCAAAGCCGTGGGGGCCCCCTACTCCAACACACTCACAGGGGCCCTTCATCCGCTCAAACTCAGTGAATCGCCGGGATCTCTGCGCGATGTAGGCGGAGCCTGAAACTGAGACTGTGTCTGTTGGTGTGGTGACGTCGCAGCACGCTGCATTGGGAGCCTCCATGGGTGCTGCTATCATGTGCATAGCGGAATGTGCAGAGCGGAAGCAAAGCCCGAACAAAGCACGGGCGCACTCCGACACGCGGCAGCCAGTGCCTGATAGTGGCAGGCCTCGGGCCAACACAACTCGCCAATCAGAAGCAACTTGCAGGTTGAGGGGAGTGGGGTAGTGAGGGCAGCGGCTTTGCATTTACATCGGCATGAGGCTGGCTGCTGCGGACATCATCCGACGGCGCGACCACGCCAATGACGAGAGGCATCAGCTTGGGCAAACACTCGTTCGTGTCCGAACGCAACCGGAAGATTGGGCGAGAGAAGCAGCGTGAGAGGTCACATGTAAGGCTGGCGCAGCTTGTGCAGCTTGCACAGCTCTGAAGTTTTGAGCAGTGTTTTGGGATTTGGCACCTGGGCATAAGCGCTGCGACCCCCTCAGAGGATCAATGCAGGTGGCAAGGTCTCAGGCTGGCTCCGGCCGCTCCCAAGAAAAGCATCCAGGACACATCTCAGAAAACCCACGAAACATCACTGAACTTTGCCTCCTGCCCCAGGCCCTCTGCCGCTGCGGTGCTGCGGTCTGGACTTCATGCTTGGGCTTCGTGGTCGCCAAAACTTTCGGGCGGAGGATTGGGAGGCAGCGCGGGCAAAGGGCAGCCACGCCACACAAAGTCACAGGCTGAAGCTTCCGCACCACTGGCACGCTGCGGCGCGCTGCAGTGCTCACGCACGCGCTAGGCAGTGAGCTGACGCAGGGAACTGGACTTTCACACCTTGCTGAGTTTTTTTGAAGGGGGACCGAACAGCCATCTTCGTCAGGGGCAACAACACGGCCCGTACACTTGTGATTGTGGGCTGGGAACAAGCCTCAATATTGGCGAGCCACCGTTCTGAGAAAGAGGTGCATCCACCTTGTCCTCACCTGTCTTCGGTGGGATCACAGGGCTCGTGTTCACAAAGGGTCGGATAAAGGGGGCGCAGCCGGCAAAGCCGTGGGGGCCCCCTAGCACTCCAACACACTCACAGGGGCCCTTTATCAACTCAAACTCGGACGGGGGCAGCAGAACCGCCAGAAGCCAGGAAGGATCTCCATGCGTCGTGTCTGCTTAATGCCTGGACGACGTCTCAGGTCCGCAGGGCTTAAAACAAAAGGCCCACGCGAGGTTGCCCTAGGCAGGGTGCCATTTTGGGGACGTTAACCCTCACAGGATTGCAGGGTTCTTTTGTGACACATCTCCAAGTTGGCAAGCGCACCAGGTTGCGCCACACACGGCTCGGCTCGAGGCCAAGAGGCTCGGAACAATTCGGGACAGCACTGAGGGGGACGTGCCCTTTGCCTCCGCCTGTGTGCCTACTCACGGAAACGCCGTTTCAGGGGAGCTGCGCGAGGCGGCTGAAGCTTGACAAAGGAGGCACTCAAGGCACTCAACTCGCAATCGAAGCCTTGCACCTTAAGAATCCCCGAGCTCCCGAAGAACTTCAGCGAGTCCCCATGAATGAGAGAGCTTCTGGAACGGACTGCGCAGCAGAGTTGCGAAGTGGTGGATGGGCCCTTATTCGTGTGCGTTTTTGGGGGGACTCTGGCATCACTCGAGGCAAAAAAACTTAACGCATCTGCACGGCCTCTCGCCTCGCCCCACTGGCGACAGCACACCCAAGACTGGATCAACCCGACGTCTGCATCGGCTTGGCGAATCGGGGTGCTGGGAGGTGGCCCTGTAAAGGTCATCTCATGTCGAAGTTTCAGCTCGAGGCTAAGTCGGCTAAGTCGGCTAAGTCGGCTAAGTCGGCTAAGTCGGCCAGGGCTCAGGGCCTCCTTTAACCCGAGGGCTCCAGCGCATGGCCGGCGTGCTCCTTCCACAGAAGGCTCCAAAAGCCTCACATGGCAAGGGCCCTCCATGCAGGGGCTCCTGGGAGCCCGGAACATGAACCTGAGCGTTTGGCACCAACCTTGCATCGTGAAGAACGAAGGCACTTCTGCCCTCAGGATGTCGTTTGTGGCCTCCAAAAGAAGAAGCTGCATGACCCATGCAGTCGGATGCTCTACTCGAGGGGGGGGGAGCAAGCCACAGAGACCTCCAAGCGCCGCACCGCGCCGCCGCGCAGCGGGCGCATGGGGGCTAAGTGGGGGGGATCATGCGTCGACGGTGCAGCTGCCGCAGGCCTGACCGGGCTCCGAGTCGCTGAGCCCCCACTCAAGAAGGAAAGCCACATCCCCACCCCAACCCCCACACCAGGATTCTGTCAACTTCCCAACCATTCCCAATTGTTTTCCGGGGGGTGGGGCGGACGGGTTGCAGATCTAACCTGATCTAAGATAACTCTTGCTTTAGTCGGACTGGTTGAATGGGAAAAGCATCGCCCGCAGACTCCCGGGCCTCCATCTAAAACCTCATCTGACTTGTTGCAGCTGCTGCCTCGTCCTCAGCGGTTTAGGGTTGTTTAGGATTTAGGATTTAGAGTTTAGGCGCCACTGCACTGAACAGCGGCTAGTGCGTGACTAGTACAGATCAGATCATTGCTGCTTTGCCCATACACACAAGGACACCACCCCTAATCTCTCAATCTCTCAACCCTGTACCCTACTACCATGCCACAATGTTCTGACCAGCTTCTTAGCGATCAGTGGCGTGGACGTCAACTGCTCGCAGTATGGGGACCTCCCATCTTGGCGTCAACCTGAGCACAGCGTCTCACATCGCTGCGTGCAATGGGCGATGCCTGAACGTGGCCAGCTCAACCCTTTAAACCCTAAACCCAAGGGCTTCTTTTTGTAAGGCATTGAGGGGTGATTGGGGTCCAGGGAAGAGGCGATGCTCTTGCACAGAAGCAAGACGCCCGAAGACGCCCCCCGGCCTCCTGCCCAGGATCTGGGCGGTCAGGTCACGGGGCGGTCCATGGCCTGTGGCACACGTAACACATCACATTCTTCTTTGCACCGCCGCCTGTCTGATTTTGTTCTTTAGAGTTTAGGGTGTTTAGGGCGTTTAGGGCCTAAGTTTAGGGTTTGAGGGTTATATATGGGGCTCAGGGTTTTACGGGCAGGTTGCACCCCAGCCAAAAGGGGCAGGGGCCTTGCGGTGGCGCATGCTGCAAATCCGCTGCGAACGCATGGAGCGGGGTGCCTGGGCAAGAAAGCATACACACAAAAAACCCACAAACTGGACCCATCGCAGAGCTACATGTATGAAACCCTAAGGAACCATAACAAGGACTCGCAAAAAACCATACACGAACCCACAACGAGGACTCATGAGAACTCATGCATGAGCCCCACCCTCAATCCAAAACCCTAAACCCTAAACCCGAAACCCTACCTGCTAAACCTATTTCGTGGTAATGATTCCGTTTCTGTAGAATTCGTGCGAATTCTTTAGGCAAGTTGAATATTATCACAGCCACGCGAAAATGTTCAGGAGCGTTCGGGAGCATTCGGACAGTGAGAGGCGTTCGCGCGGCATTCGCGCGGCGTTCGCGCGGCGTCCGCGAGGCGTTCGGAGGCGTTCGGCCTGGCATCCGCGTTCATTCGCGATCGGGAGCGACCAAACGCCATCGCACGCGTTAAAATGCATTCGCCCCCAGGAATTCGTAATAATTCTCCATATCCGTACTCATTAGTATGGAAAGGGTTTAGCAGGTAAAGCCTGCAACAAGGAATCCCGAGTCTTACAGAATTGAAACGGAGACCAGGGGGCAGCGGGCGCAACATCCGCCGAGGAGGCGCAGGTCATGTGGGAGTATTCCATGGTGAGCGCTGTGGAATAAACCCTACCCTACGCCCTAAATCCTAAACCCTAAACCCTATAAACCCTAAACCCTAAACCCAAAATTAGGGGTTAGAGTTCAAGGCTTCAGGATGCGCCCTTGCTGCCTTCATCTGTCGTCCATTTCTTGAGGCTTGAAACATAACAGACTTTCTCTAGGGGCCCATGTGCCTCGTGCATACTTTGCCTCAAACTTCCTGTGTAATTCGCTTGCGGTAGAGACTTTTCAGGCAACAGTGGCCCTCAGGGTAAACGCACTTAGGCGTTGTTTGGGTCTGAGCCCGAATTACAGCAGTTGCATCCAACCAGTCTTCGCACTGTAGCACAAAAACGGCCCAGGCACCAATGGAGCTATGGCTTACTTGGAGGTTCATGGGCTCCCACAACCCCATTTCTCACGGTACTTATAAGCCCCGTCAGTCCCCTAAGCAGGTTACAAGTTGACTTAAAACTGATGTTATAAGTACCCATGTAGAGTGGGGTTGGTCGTGCATACATGCCTTGTGCTGGATGAATTGCTGGCTTGCAAAAAGAAGCGGATTCCACTCGTTTTGCAAGCAATGTCTGCAGATCTCACGAGCCCTAAGTGTCCATATTTCTACACTCACCAGTAATAAGAAGGAACCCTATGAACACTCACCCCTAACAGCTTAGGCCGAAACCCTAAACTCGGAACCATAAACCCTAAACCCTACACCTCAAACCCGAAACCCTAAACCCTAAACTTTAAACACTAAACCCTAAACCCTAAACCCAGAGCCCTCAGATTGTGGGCGCTACAAAGAGGAGTCCGAGTCCAACGAGAAGCAGAAGAACGTGGCCTCACAGGGGAGGGTTTAGGGTTTAGGGTTTCGGGTTTAGGGCGTAGGGTTTAGGGTTTAGGGCTTAGGGTTTAGGGTTTCGGGTTTCGGGTTCAGGGCAAGGGGAGGTCGGTTTCGCTTCGAGATTAAGGCTTAGCAGGGGTTGAGGGGCCGAAATGGGACCCATCTCTACATATGGTCACTTCTCTCAAATGTGGTCCCTTTTGGGGTCCTCATTATAAGGCGGCCCCTCCTATTTAGGGTACCAAAAAAAGGGACCCTAATTCCTCCATGGTTCAGGCCTCTCAAGGCAAAGGAGCTTGGGTCTCTCAGCTTTGCATTGAGGTTTCAGTTTTCTGGACCGGTTGCGGCAGTCGTCCCAACCTCAAAATACCTCGGAAGCATCTTTTTCCTGGCTGTGAGGTAGGGCCGGTGCAGGAGTGGGACATGCGATGTACAGCCAAAGGCCTGAAGTCCCACCCAACTTCCTCTTCAGGGACCCGGATTGAAGGCTTAGGGTTCCCTAAACCCTAACCCCCAAACCCCAAACCCCAAACCCTAAACCCTAAACCCTAAACCCCAAACCCTAAACCCCAAACCCTAAACCCCAAGACCCTAAACCCTAAACCCATGAAGCCCTTCTGGGCCCCAGTGCTTGATTTTGCTGGACCGCTGTAGATGCGCTTCGTGAGCTTCATGGCCATGCCGAAGCCTGGGGTTTAGGGTTTAGGGTTTGGGGTTTAGGGTTTGGGGTTTAGGGTTTAGGGTTTAGGGTTTAGGGCTTAGGGTTTAGGGTTTAGGGCTTTGCCGTTTGTTAGGTGCTTTGACCCTCGTCCTACAGAAGGCTTGTCGGCAATGTTCTGAAAGGCTACGTCAGGTCATTGCGCAACTCGGACCCCCAATTTTTCAAAAGAACTCAGGCACACTCCGATTTTTGCAGATCGTGGGAAATGCTTTTTGATGGACGTCATGGACGTCTTGCATCTCCTTTACATGGTTCCTAGTCCCTTCTTTTGAAAACAAGCGCAAGACCCATTGAGGCAGAGCTGCCCACACTCGCCACGAGCAGCCCAATGAGCTGACGTACATCGAAGGACTCGTGCATGCGGATGACCTCTCGGCGCAAAGAAGGAAAGTTTAGGGGTTAGGGTTTAGGGTTTAGGGTTTAGGGTTTAGGGTGTAGGGTGTAGGGAACATCCAGTCAGCTTCAACACATGTGTCCGAGACCATCACCAGCCATCACCATCATCAGGTAAGCTGCATTTCTGATGTTTTGGCTGGTGAGATCATCCGAACGAATCGTGCTTCGTTAACGGCTCAGATTGAAAACAGAGCCCTCAAGCATATAGCTCCTGAACCATGTTCTCGCTTTTTCAAGCCCATAGCCCCTAAGCCCTCATCCCTGAAAACCATACTGGCTTCAGGGCTTAGGGTCTAGGGGTTTGGGATCTTAGGGTTGAGGGGTTTAGGGCTTACCGGTTTCAGGTTTAGGGTTTTGGGGTTTAGGGTTTACGGCTTTGGGTTTAAGGCTCAGGGGCATCGTAGCACCCCCTGGCCTTTGCAGCCAGAAGTGATACGGCGCAGCCCTCCGCATATCCTGCAATCACATCCAGCCAGTGGTGCGCCAAGAAGTACCTCGGGCTTTCCAGTCGGAGGGCCCTAACCCTCTGAAAACATATTCGTTGTTGTAATCCTCTTGAAACCTAATCAGGGAGATCTAGAACATCCCAAGGACCTACCTAGCTTCAGAGTTAGGCTCCCCCAAAATGTAGGTTTCGAGTTTTGGGGCTCAGGGTTTAGGGGCTTCAGGTAGCTTGGCAGTCCTGCGTTCCGAGGTCTGAAGAATGTAAAGCAAGCAACAGCAACAAGTCGGTGAATGGAGGGAGCATTGTCAGGAATCAGGGTTTCAGGCGAAGAGTTGTGGATTTGTTTGCCGCTTGGCTGTCTTGTATCATGTGATAATGCCCTAAACCTTAAACCCAAGACCCCCACTGAACCCAATAACAGAGCTGAAGATGAACATGATCGACTCCGATCCTCCCTATGTCACAATCGCAACTAAACGTTCAATGGCTCGACAACTGGACAAGACGCTTCAAGCAGTTGAAATTCGTCTTTTCCAACAGGGCATTTGCCAATAGAGGTGCAGATGTTCTGATGTACTGCTACTGTTGTGAATGACACTCACAAGAGGGTAACTTCTCTAAATTAGGATCCCTTTCAGGTACTTGCTATAAGGCGGCCCCGAATTGAGGGCCATAGTTTTAAGAACTGACCCTTTGGCTTCGTGAACGCCGTCTGATGTCGTGTTTTTCATCACCGTGCTCACCAGGTTGCACACGACCAAAGCCCACCTGGGCGGCTCTGCGTCTCATGTGCTGATTGGGGGGCGAAGCTTTAGATTTGCATGGCATAATGGGGGTTTAAGGGCCTCCGTAGACTGGATGTATTTTGGGCAGTTTACAAGAAATATTGCAGAGAATATAGGTGGCAATCAACCGGGCGAGACGCCTGCGACATGCTCAAGATGCGAGCGATAGCGAGCCTTTCAAGAGCTGGGCTAGTCTCCCCCAGGCTTCAAAACCCTGAGGTGCCGATGGTCCCTCATCCCTGTACCCTAGCTAGCCTAACTCCCCTAAGTACCCTTGTTACCCTCATTTCCCGAATTTCCCTAATTGCCCTAATTACTCTCACTACCCTGCCAGAAGAATGGCGAAATCTTGGTCAGACAGAAACTCCCCTGGCTGCGTCAGTGACGAGTGCCCCAAGAACCCAACCAAAAGACTCCCTTTTTGTCATGTTTAACTCCCTTGGATTTGTACGGTTTTGGTTTTTGACATCATGCTGAAGAAGCTTCCTGAGGAAAATATGGGGAGTGACAAGTGTTGGCGTGGCACGGCGTGCATGAAGTCGCATTGATCCCTGGCAGGTGTGGGTTCTTGCCGATGTTTGCCATCGTTTCCCAAAAAAACTTCCATGCCTGGCGTGATGAGTGGTGCACTCCCTGTGCATGCGAGGCCCGCCCATTCATTCTCTCAAGTGCCTTGGAGTCATCTGAGAGTGCCTACACCCTAAACCCTAAACCCTTTGTGGGCTTTGTACATCTTTTTTTGAGGATTCGTCTTTTGCAGAGCAGGGTTCACGTTGACGTCAAACCGAAGAAAGGTCGCACTGTTTCACCTACTTGGTACTTATAACCCAATCATAACTGCACCAATAAGGCCTCACACCCGCTAACAAATCCGCCGACCCCGGCAGCAAGCGGGCAATGGGGATTATAGGGTCAACCTAAACCCTAAACCCTAAACCCTATAGGGTTTAGGGCATCTCTGGTCCGGGCCGCATAGAGGCCCAAGAACCACCAACCCGTCCCACAGCCAGCAAGCGCAAGCGAAGCGCCTGGGAGCAAAGGCAAGACCTTCTGGTTTGTGGTCCATATTCAATGTTGCTGAATTTTGCGTCGTGGGGAATATCATAGTTTAGGGTACGCTTTAGAAGCTCTGCAGACTACTCTTTTTTGGATTGTGTGTGTGATTGAAATGCATTTGAAAAGCGTCAAGTCAGTGAATTCGCATCAGCTTCAACAAGTGACACACAGCTGTACGGAATGGTCTACTTTGCCCACACTTCTTTGGTTTGACGTACTCGAACTGGGCTCATTCCGAATATGTGGGCATTTGAGCACTGGTGTCCAAATTTTGTGTGCTTTTGAGATCGCAGAGAGAAAGATGGGCATTATATGGCATTATTGTCCTGAAAGCTTCAGCGCTTCGGTGGCTTTTCCTCTCAGGGCAAAGGCTCCCTCCGCATCAGATCAGGAGTCACCCAGCAAAAGGCAGCAAGGGCGATGATGTCCCGTGTTTTGGGCTCATGGATATGTGGGGGGGGGGGGGGTGTGGGCGGCTTTGTGGCTTAGGTGGGCTGGTCACGGAGGCCCGATTGCGCGCCTGTCACGCTCCCGGCCATCGTGTCACCCGATGGAAAGGATGCACCGTCCTTGCAAGTGAAAAACTCTGGAACTCTTTTTTTTGGGAGGGTTTAGGGTTTGGGCCTAGGGTTTGGAGTCTGGTTTTTTAGGGTCCACATTCCATGGTCACTCGAAGCATAGGCCCGCGATGGCCCACTGCCTGCAAAGGTGACGGGGCCCACCAAGTAGGGTTCACAGGGTTCAGGGTTCAGGGTTTAGGGTTTAGGGTTCAGGGTTTCGGGTTTAGGGTTTGGGGTTTGGGGTTTAGGGTTTAGGGAAGCCTTTTCATCCTCCAACCCCAACAAGTCCATAGCCAAGCTGCCGCGTGGGCATCCGTCAAAATGATGGTGCGGAAGATTCGCTTGACCTGGCAGCAGAGACTGAATTCTTAAAACAACGGAAGGTCCGGGCTCGATTTGCTTTGCGCTGTTTGGTTGGCCGTTCCTTCCTTCTAGTTCAAATTTTCGGGAGCCTCAAGTATTTGGGAACGCTGTAGAAGTATTCGTGCAGAACTTCACTTTGGCCCGATCTCCATGCTGCTGCGCGGCGTCCTCCGGAGGTATTGGTCTCTGCCGCTGAAAGACCAGTTTCAGAATGCGGTTCAGCAGCTGGCCGTAGCACAGAGCAAACCTGGGCAGCATCCTTTCAACGCCGAAGAAGCACCCCTGATGTCCCCACTTGTTTTAATTGATAGTAGAAATGCTTCCCGAAGGGTGGCTCATCTCATGGTTCTACAGGACAAAAAGCGGGGATACTGCTTGGCTACCATGTAGGCCTCTCTCGCAAGAGCCTCGAAACCCCTGAACCATGAGGGCTGCTGGGCCACAGGACCATCCGCAGCGGCTGGAAGCCGTAGAGAAGCGCGGACAGCGTAAGGGAGATGCCGACCCCCTCCCAGCTGAAGGCCAGGGAGCCTGTCTCATGGGGTTTAGGGTTTAGGATTTAGGGTTTAGGGTTTAGGGTTTGGGGTTTAAGGTTCAGGGTTCAGGGTTTCCAGTGTGGGGGTTTAGAGGGCTTCTGACGCCCTGAACCCCAAAGTGCCATCTCATCACCATGCCCCCTACACCCAAAAGCAAGATTTTCTTGCGAGTTGGATGTAATGAGTCATCTTGCAGCCCTCAGCCTTAGATATAGGCCTTCTTCTAGCAACTATAAACCTATAAACCTCCAAGCTGAGATTTGTCCCTCGACTCTGCCTGGGTAAACGAGGACCTCCAGCCATCCCAGCGACAGGGACTGCGCCTGCCGCGTCAAGAAGACCTGGCCACTCAACATGCCGACGCGACAACAATTGAAAAAAACACTTGCTCCCCAAGCCCCTAACCCCATACCCTAAATCCTAAACCCTCAGCACTTTTTTGCTGATTTGCCTTTTTATTCTTTGAAATCAGCTGCGCTAGGGAGGTGCCCTGATGCCCGGCACACTTTGAGCAACACCTCTGGGAGCCGAAGCTAAAGCCCCAAACACTCCAAGTGCCATAATCATATATTAGTATGACAAAAATAGTCATACTAGTATACTCGTATACTCGTATACTTGTATACTAGCATGCCAGTATACCAGTGTACCAATGTACTAGTTTACTAGCATACTGGCATCTGCAAGAAGAATTACTACCAATCGTATCGTACTTCAAAGAAAGCGTCGTCCAGGTCCAGCAGCCGGGACAACGCCATGGCCGGTGAAGAGGCTGCACTGTAGCAAAGGCCAGCTCCCCTTGTAGTATTTTGAAGCTCACACAGGTTTTGCAGGGTTTGTTTCGGGTTGAGGGTTTAGTGTTTAGGGTCTCTACATGTTGAAGGGTTCTTTGCATTGCGGAGCGGCTGGAGGTTAGGTTGCGAATCATTGGCAGCAGGTCCACTAAGAATGACTATGAGGAGCCTGCGAGGACCACTGTGTAAACCAGTGTGAAGAGCGTTGTCTTGCGGAATCTTGCAGGTTTCCTGAGCCTCGGCAGTCGCTTACCTATGGTGAGGTGTCCATGCGTCAAACAACATGCCCAAATTGCTTTCAGAGTTGCGCCAGGCTGTCCACAGGGCGTAGGATTTAGGAGTTTTGCCGTGTTTGGCCCACTTTTCCTGCTCATGCGCGTTTCTTTTGTTCCGGCGCTGACATCGAAGGCCAACTTGAATCTCCCACTGTGAACCTGGCATGCATGGCTTTTGGGCTTTAGGGTTCAGTTCTCAGGTCAGGATGTCGGTGGGCATTTGGTGGGTAAAGAATCAGGGTGATGGGATTGTCAGCAACAACACAAAGCCCGCCAAGATACCTTGCATCGTGTGCGAGTGGCTATTGCGACCATCTAGCTCGTGCGAACTTTGCGTGCTGCTGCTCTGATAACTCGCGTCAAGCAAGATTTGTGTGGTGGCTTGAGGTGAAAGGTTTGGGGGAATTCCGGCTTTGCTGTGTGGGGGCTTAAATAGGGAGCTTCAAAGAGTGTTACCGCGCCTCCTTAGGGCTCATTGAGGGTTGAAGGGTTCTAAACGGGAGCGAGCCGGCATTGCAGCATTTCGAGGTTTCATTTTCGGGGTTCGGGGGTTTAGGGCAAGTTTAGGGAGCCGTTAGACTCTGCTTATCTTGCTGCCATCCCCTTCCTTCCCTCCTGCTACTCCCCAGAGCAGCTGCTAGTGCATTTGCACTGCATTTGCTGCATTCTCCCTCTTTTGAGATTGGTCTCCTTGGATGAAAGACGGTGTAACTCGTAGCAAGCTGGTGGCGATCAGGAAACACTGACTAGGCAGCCAAACACGTTGAAACCTCCTAAGCCCAGAAGCCTGAACTGCAGCTTCGTGGCCAGCTAACTAACGCCGCGGCACGCGACTTCTTCTTGAGCCACCAGCCGGCGTTGCTGAATATGGGGGCCCTATCAAACCCAAAACACTGCAGAACACTTTTTGTAGCCCAAATCTGTCTAGGAACCGTAGGCAAATCACGTCCTCAGCCCCTCAGCCCCTTGGCACCGTTGCAGCTATACTTCTCCCAACTTGAGCCAAGACCAAGTCGAGCTGCCACAACGCTTCAAAGAGCCATTCGCTCTCAGCACCAGCAACCTGCAACCAGTCCCCAGCTTTCGCGTCGGAATCTGCGCCCCCAGGGATCCCCGGAGTCTTGGAAAGGTACGATACAGGGGCCTCAATGATGAGAAGAGGGTTTTGGGGTTCCCATGATACTAGAGTTCTAATGAGGAAGCGCCCAAAATAGTATTGGTACTCATTAAGGCCCCTATATTACAACACGCCGCATACCTGCGGGTGATCTCACTAAGTGCGGGCAGCACCTTCAGAAGTACAGCACGAAGGCAGCGAGCATCAAGAAGCTCGGAAAGAGCCGCTGACCGTTGCTGCCCTCGCAGTAGATGCCCACGTGATCCGCGAAGTAGAGCTTTGAATCCGTGACAAACTCGTAGCCCGTCAACTGCTCTTGCACCTGTCGGACGCTGGTCACCGAGCTGGGCCTTACGGTTTCGTTGGACGGGTCGAGGAAGAAGACCACGTCTCCCACCTCAACTTCGGTGGGGCGCTTGTTTTTCCACCGTTCGCCTGCTTCGCCTGCTTCAAGGTCAGGAACGTCAGGATCCCGCACGGGTACGAAGGCATCCGGGCCGACCAGCACAGGCTTCCCTAAAAGATGAGAGAGCTCGTGGTCGATCTCAGTGTAGCTTGTCACGCTCACCGTCGTGACGGCAACGTTGCAGCCCGGCGCAGTTACCTGCCTGCTTGCATACCCCCACCTTTCGTGCATGATGTCGTAGGCGTTCTGTCCCCAACCCGCATCCGGCCCACTGGCTTTTCCAGGCGAGAAGATTTTGAATGGAGACGTGTCTGAGTTCTCAATATCTTCGACCTTCCATTCCCCTTTCAACGGAATCGACACGCACTCGACCTCCCCATGGTGGAGCTCGCATTTCTGGTCCTCACCCCCAGACGCAGAGATGATGGTCCCTCTTGGCACGCAACGCCAATTACGGCCTCCGTTAGACGGAGCGGGCTCGTGGCGCACCCGCGATGCTTCCTGCAAGAAGAACTGCTGCACATTGAAGACCTCCTCCCAGCAGCCTGGCTCCGCCTGGCAGGCGCGGATGTGCTGGCGGACCACCCGAGCACGCACCTCCGCGGAGGACCTGCGGAAGAGCTCCCTGAAGCCCAGGTTGGCCTTGAGCCGGGCCTTGAGCGCAGCCTCCTGAAGGATGCTTTTGGGATCTGCAAAAAGCAACGGCAACAATATTGTAGTATTTGTCGTATATTCTAGTATAGTATATTCTAGTACAGTATACTCTAGTATAGTATATTCTAGTATGGCATAGTATAGTAGATCATACTCCCGAAGGATGCTCGGGGTCTGCAAAAGGATTGTATTGTAGCATCGTACAGTTGTTTTATAGTATAATATAGTATAGCATCGTATCGTATAGTACAGTATGGTATAGTATAGTATAGTAAAGTAAAGTAAAGTGAAGTAAAGTATATTACAGTGTAGTGGATTATACTCCTGAAGGACGCTCGGGATCTGCAAGAGGTCTGCGGCGGAATGGTTTTCGAAGGCCTCCTCGTCGAAGTGGGCGGAGAGGAGGTCGTCCGCCTCGCGGCAGAAGTCGGCCAAGGCTGGGTCGGGGGTCTCCTTCACCAAGTCACCGGGCCCAAACTGCCGGCCTGAGAATGTGAAGAGGGTTGCACCCAGCGAAGCGCACAAAATCTCGTTGTACTGGTTGTTGCAGCAGACATCGAAGCCCAACTTCCAGGCGGACCAGTTGGCATTGTAGAAGTGCTCTTCTTCCTCCTCCTGGGTCTTGTTGAGGCACTGCGAGATCATCTTGCTGCACCCCGAGTGCTGCGGCGATGAGAACGGATTGGCACGGCGATATCCGTGCTGCAGAAGGGCATGCCCAACCGGTGGCAGTGCACAACTCCCGTCTGCAAGGCATTCAGTCCCTGAGCCCTTCGCAACGACGATGATTGCGGCGAGTGCGAAGCTAAGCATCGTGGCTGTCACGATGATTGCGGTACACACGGGAGAAGATAAATGTTTTCGAGCTGCAAGGCTTGCGGCACCAGTGGGTCCTCTTAAGTATCCGAGCTGGCGCATCACCCGATACAGCAGGCAACTCCTACGGATCTCAACCGCTCGAGCACTCTCGCTGAAAGAATCGCACACGCCCTTTTTGTAAGCGAAGAACAGCTCAATGACTACCCTGAACTGCTCGTTTGACAAAACCTCAGATGACAGGAATGCGCCAAAAAACAAAACAAGGTCGATCCTCTCGGCAGTGAAGCTGAGCAGCCGGCTGCTGTACTTGAGCTCCAGTCCTGACCAGCTTCACTGGGATCGCTTTGCGGAATGGCAGCCGTGGAAGGATGCCAATGGCATGACTCGGCATGATGGTTAGAGCTTACGCCGTGGAACTGCCAACTAGCTGGACAGCTCCCTTACGATGCTTGTGGAGCCCCTTTTTTTTGGAACGCTCTTATAACAACAAATGTAGAAGCCAAGAACCTTACACTTCCCAGGCAGACTCTGCACGGCTCTCCCGGCAGTTCTATGGGATTCTGATGTTTTGTATTCCCGAACAGTGTGGGCAACACTTTGGGGTTCTTGCGCTAGTAGTAAAGGCAATTGATAAGTCTGGTGCGTTGTTTTCGCTGACGTGCAGCAAATCCTGCCCCCACAGGGCCGAGTCATTACATGGACCACGGCTCTTTGGCTTCGAAAGCCTGAAATTGCAGCAGTTCTTTGGTGGAAAGGATTTGAGGCGTCCTGCTGGATCGCGCCAGTCAAGGGGCTCAAGCTCCGTGGTCTCGAATCCCGCCAGTTTTTGAGGGAAAAAGCACTTTCGATCACTTTCGCACTGGTCCTGATCCTCGGGTCTCCCGGTGGTCTTCCGGTGCATTGTGATGAACCACTGCATTCTGCACGCAGCTTCTGCTTGCTCCGCATCGCTGCCCACAGCTTAAGGCCTGTTCTGCTTTTGGACTTTAAGTGGACTTGAGGGCCTGGGCCTCACGAGCAGGCTCACGGCTCGAAACCACTCAAAACCCAACCTCAGGCAAAGCTCAAGTCCTCTTTACCCGGGTCCTTCAAGCCTTCGCTGTGAAGGCCCCCTAAACCCTAAACCCTAAACCCCACCAGCGATTGGACGCCCACAATCACAAATTCATGGGCCGACTCCGACATGGAGGCTTCACAGCCGAACGGCTGCGACACTCACAGCTTGAATGCTTTGGGCTTGTGGGGTTTAGGGCTCTGTTTTGGGAAGAAGTTTTGGGGTTTGGGATTTAAAAGGGCCTGCCAACAAGAAATGGCTCGCGCAAAGCTGGAGCGAATCTTCACAACACTCACGAATAGCGCCCAGGCGTTCTATGGCGAATGCCCAAACAGCACCGAATCAGTACAAATCGAAGGCTGCTCGTCAACTTCGGCAACACATCCATAGTTCAGCAACTCCTCTCGTCTCACTAAACATGTTGTGTCGAATGACCAGTACTCCTACGAAACACCTTCTAGGCCCCGTAGTTCAGAATCGTGAGATTTCTCCAGTAAAAGGCCATGTGATGCACTGAATCTCGTCTCAAGGATGTATTTAGACCTTGTGGTCAGCCCGAGATGCACTCGCTTGCCGATGTCTCTTGGCGCAGTCGGCACCATGGGATTCGAGCCACTTCAGAGCTCGCCTGCTCAGGGTGGTTTTGTTCGGACGCGTCTCCACCATAGCCTTCTTGTGCGGACTCTGCCTTGGATCACAAGGTCATAGGATGCCTTCGAGAATGTCCGGCGATGCTTCGTCATCTGGTTTATCGTTTTCCGGCAAGAATCTCCGAGGCCGTTGCAGATGAGGTGCCGCCGGTCCAAGGGTTGCGAATTCCACCATCAGCAGAGCCTCCAACAATTTGGTGGCATCCTCATCTCCGAAGTTCTTGCACTCTATCGTCGCAGGCGCCGGACGGACCACAGCCGCGATTACTTTCATGCATATCCGCATACCTCCTCAGCTTGTGTAAAAGAGGCAAGTCGGTCTCGGAAGAGGGGCGGAAGTGGCCTTGGGAACTCGCCTTTGATCGAAGCGCCGAGGGCCGCCCACTGTCTCTCTGCTTGGCACCAGCCCCGAAAGCTGTGGCGTCTGTTTCGCTGAGAGATGGGGGACGTCCATCACTTTCCTGGCGTCCTCCCAGTACGCCAGGATGCTCGAACCATTCCTCGCCAGGATGGTCCTGAATTTCTTTCGGCGTGAGAGCCTCGATCCTCTAAACTTTCACGGCCTTGTGGGAGTGAAGCAGGTGCATGCCCTTGAGCGCCTGCCGAAAGACTCGCTCCTGATCCTCTTTTCTTTCATACTGGTACAGGAAGAGAAAGTCGTGACGGCACACCCTAAACACCCCGGAAAAAAAAAGCTCTTCCATTCCACTACGACTACTCTTACAAGCGTCTACGATTCCGCCGCCACTTCCAGCACTTAGCCTCTTCCAAGACCCCCAAACATCCCCAAACCTGTTTGAAACATGCCAGATACTCCATGTTCAGTCATGCGAAGACATGCGTTGGATGCATGAGTTGGCTCAAGAACAAAAGAGTGTGAGCGTAAGGGGTCCCTTTGATCTTTGGGTTCTCCTTGGAGTTTCGAGGGATTTGACATTGCTCTTCAAAGCTGATCAACAAGCAGCTGCAGCAACAGCTTGCACATTCAGACATACTTGCAACTTCATTGCATCAAGGAGCATCAAGAAGACCTTGTCGTTGCTGTATTTGTGTGTTGGCAGAAGCTGGCTGTTTTGGCGAGAGTTTCAGAGGACGACATTTGGGATTTGTTTGGAAAGAAGGCTGCTGCAGCAACAGCAGCTGCAGCAGCAACATTCACTGCATGTGGGCATTGGCATTTCCATTCAACATCTCATTATCTCGACTCCATCATACAAACTTCATCTCGTTCTCCAGGTGGGACAAGACACGAAGGGTTGGGTTAACCTTAATCCCATCCTACTTGCTTGTCACCTGTTGTAGCCCAACACCCTACTGTTCAGGGCTTCAGGGCACCGGCCCCAGCGTAGGACCCTGTGTGGGATTGGTTGTGTGGTTTCCTCTGTTCCCTATTAGTTTCAGGGTAGGCAAGAGGTCTCGTCAGGACTTGAAGGCCTTTGGGGGCCATGAACATAGATGAGGAGGGACTCCCATCTCCTTCGACCCCTAGAATTTGAGCCATCACATATCCCGATTATTTCAGTCCTGTGACCGACACCACAGGAAGTCCAGAGCCACTCCACATACCAGCACATCCTACAGCACCAGCAGCACTCACACCCTTCCCGGATCATAACCGACAGGTTATGAGCCCAAGGGGCACCACTGCAGCTTGGACACCGCCTCCAGCAGTACATCCTTTTGCAGCTTCTGCTTCAGGTACAACTACTCCGTTTGCAGGTGCAACCTTCACGCAAGCAACTCGGATTGAGGTCCCGGTACACGTGTTGGAACAATTTGCACAGCAGAATACGATTGACAACGAGATCCTTGGAGATTTACGGGCGGCCGTTGTAGAACTACATGACCGCATGCAACACCGCACAAACATCCTTGGAACAACAACTACCTCGTTGGCCGACGGCTACAACCTTGTGGTAGAAAAGTTAGGGCGACTGCAGCAGGGCCTTGATGCACACAGTGAAGTCATCACTCGTCTTGTGCAGGACAACCGAGGAATTCATGATGAGCTTGAAGCTACGCGCGCTCAGTTGGAGGAGGTTCGGACAATGGCTCAGACCTCTCGATTGGGACCAGAACAATGGCAGGCTCAGGTGGAAGCACATATCTTGAAACTTCAGAATGAGTTCGACATGCGAATGAAGCAGGTCGATGATGATATCATCATAGCACCAAATCCCGTGTTCGAAATCTTGAGGACACGGCTGTGAGTAGGACGGAAGTTCCTAATGCTCACATGGTACTGGAACAAGTGGACGAGACCTTTTCTGCCTTGCAGCACCTCAGAAGCATCGTCGAGGCCAAGCACCTGGAGTTAGACCATGGCTTGGCAGAGGCAAGGGAATCGATTCAGGACCTGTCCAACACTCCGGAAGGTTGAGAAGAGTCTTGATCACCTTCAGGCACTTTGTGAGCAGTTCGTGAAAAACCGAAGGTCCCTCTGGTACCTTTTCCCTTGAAAGCACGAACCCAAACCTATCTCAACCAAGTGCGGACACGCTCTTTTTCACTCGCAGGCCTTGAGCCAAAAGTCACGAAGTGCGCAAACTAAACGAATTCACATGTGAGCTTAAACTCAGCTTCAGAACAAAGTTCCCACACACTGCACACTCACTCAAAGTAGCGTATTGGGCAAAAACATATACTCGCATGATTTCCTAGGAAAATCATGGAGGCAAAAACATCGAGGATGGGATCACAAAGATTCCCAATCACTCCGAAGCAAAACAACTCTCTACAAGCTGATTCAAAACATGATAAAACCGTCAATGATCAGCCACGATCTTCCACCCGCCGCATTTTGCTGAGGGTTCATGCCAAAGATCCAAAGTCCAAGCACAGCTCGGCACTTCAACACTAAGGGGATGCCCTGGCCACATTCCCTTGGTGCATACTCGCCACCAGAACGAAACAAACGACACACCAATCGATCTTGACATCAAACTGAAAACTTATGCAAGATCCCACCATAAGGCAGGTTGTCCTGGGTCCGGTACTGGCTTGGTACCCAAGAGTTCGCAGTGAAAACACGTAACAAACGAATTCATGCAAGGCTTTAGAGTGTCAACCCCACTCTCAGTACACAACCTCAACGTGGTCATACTCCTCAACCTCGCTTCAGCTAGCATCTGCCAGAACCAAAGGGGGCTTTCGAGGTATCCAGGCCAAGGGCTGCCTTGGCTCAGCCACCCAAGATATCCTAAGAGGGGGCCTTGTCACAGCCTTCAGGGCACCGCGTTCGCAATACTCGCCTGCCCAACTGCCTGCTGCTCTTCGTTGCCGCCTGCATC